TTGTAAAAACTTAATTTTGATTTATATAAATTGTCATTTCTTTTGTGAAATTTTACATTTATTATATAAAAACATTTTCTTTTCTAAAATCTTAATTTTCATTACTATAATTTTGCATTTCATTAGCAAAATTTTACATTTGATATGTTAAAACATATTTTGTTTGGTAGAAACTTAACTTAAATTTGTTTGAATTTGCTAATGTAATATTAGTAAATTTTTACGTTTGATATAAAAAAAACTTTTTTGTAAAAAAACTTAATTTTGATTTGTATAAAATTGCTTTTCATTTGTAAAAAAAAATGGATATACTTTGTAAAATTTTACATTTGAGGTTTTCCCATTTACATTTCATTTTTAGAATTTTACTTTTGATTTGTAAAAATTTACATTTCATGGAAAAATTTTATACAATGGAATCTCCTTTCTGGAACTTAATTATTTCCCAAGAAGGCGCCTGAAAACCATTTGCTTGGAAACCGAAACAATTTTCTCCATAACAACTAACTGAATAGCCTCTTCGAAAATTAGTGATTCTGAAATGCTACCATTAGCTCGTTAATCTAAACAGCTTTTCCACTTCTTCAAAAGTCAGTGATATTTGTTTAGTTAACACTTTCACTCGTTTTGCAAGAGCTGCTGCTTCGGTCACGTCTTTGTTCTTCAGTATTGTACTTCTTTATGTGCCGTGTCCCCTCAGGACGTAGGCTATCATGGCTCTCCACAACTTCCTGTACCTTGAACCTCTTAATATACGTTGTCTTTCTGTTATTTCTCCTAAACTCTGTTCCGCCATCCATTTACTCAAACTATGTTATATGTTGTTTTTCCTCTATGTGCCGTGCCTCCTCAATGCGTTAGCGATCATGGCTCTCCACAACTTCCTGTTCTTTAGAGCTCTTAATAAATGCCTCTTTGTTATCTCTCATAAACCTTGCTCCGCCATCCATTTACTCAAGATCGCTAGGTATGTTATAGGTGGCCTTCTCCCCACCTCTTACCCTCTATCTGTCCCGTGAGTATCAGATTTTCCAAACCCTCCTTCCTCATTGTATGTCCCAGAAACCCCAACTATCTCTTCCTGATGTTAATTATTACTTTTCATTTTTGTTTCCATTTGCTCCAAAACACCGTCGTTACTCACATATTCAGTCCACGGTATCTTCATCATCCTCCTGCAGAATCCCATTTGTCTTGTTTCAAGTCTCCTTTTCATCTTTGTGGAGATCATCCAGCATTCACTGTCAGACAGGAGGACCGATATCCCATAGAAGTTTAGTACACTTTTCCTTCTTTCTAGTGAAATTTTCCTATTTCTTAATACTCTGCTTAACTTTTGGGATGCTTCTTTAGTTATCCTAATACGTTTACGGATCTCAATGTCGCTCTTTCCGTCTTCTGTTAAAACAATTTCCAGATATTTAAATTTTCGCATTTTATTTTGGTTCCTCCAATTTGTAAGTGGAACATTGTGTTCATCTTTTTGCAAACAACGCTACATTATGTCTTCTTGCAGTTGCTGCTTAATCCTTTCTTCTTGCTTTCCTTCATTAACTTCTGTAAGAGTTCTTGTAGCTTTCTTTATGTGTCTGCTATCAACACGGTATCATCTGCTTGTTATTGTTAAGATTATGGCCGTCAATAATAAATCCTGGTAGGACTTCTAGTTCTCTCAGTTTATACTCTATTTAAATTTTCCTATTTCTTAATACTCTGCTTAACATTTGAAATGCTTCCTTGGCTATCCCAATAAGTCTTCGGGTCTCAGTGTCACTCTTTCCGCCCTCTGTTAAAACACTTCCCAGATATTTAAATTTTTTTTACTTGTTTGATTTTTGTATCTTCTATTTGCAACCATGCATTCTACCTTCTTGCAGTTGATGTTTAACCTTTTCTTTTCGCTTTCCTTCACTGTCTTCTGTAGGAGTTTTATTTATAGCTTTCTTTATGTGTGTGCTATCAACACTTTGCCATCTGCATATCTTTATATTGTTAAGATTGTGGCCGTCAATAATGAAACCTGGTAGGACTTCTAGTTCTCTCAGTTTATACTCTCTTTGAAATTTTCCTATTTCTTAATATTCTGCTCAGCTTTTGGGATGCTTCTTTGGCTATCACAATACGTCTTCGAATCTCAGTGTCCCAGATATTTGAATTTCAGTACTTGTTTGATTTAATTGACAAGTTTTTTTCCATTTCACTGAAGGAGACGTTAAATACACACGAGCGTTATCGCCACCTTTTTCTTTCCTTTATTTCCATTTCTCACAAATAGCTTTTCTGATGCATTTCCAACTATTCTTGTGTGAAACCTGTGCTTTGGCAATTTTTTGAATGTTAGACATTAGGTGATTAACATACTTTCATTTTAGAGAAAAAAGAGGAGGAAAAAACTGATATGTATATTCTAAAGAGAGGGGTTCTAATCAGATGGCTACAGAGGGATTGATAAGCCAACAGAAAGAGACATATAAAGATAACTAAGCAGAGAGAGAGAGAGAGAGAGAGAGAGAGAGAGAGGAATAAGCAGATTGTTTGATTTTGGTACTTCGGATTTGCAGTTCGCACATTGGGTCCATTCTTTTTGCTTACAACTCTGCATTTTGTCTTCTTGCAGTTGATGCTTAATCCTTTCTTCTCGCTTTCCTGCATTTTGTAGGAGTTTTTGTAGTTTCCTTTCTCTGGCTGTTATCAACACTGTGGCATTTGCATCTCTTATATTGTTAAGAGTGTGGCCGCCAACAATGAATCCTGGTAGGACTTCTAGTTCTCTCAGTTTATAGTCTATTTAAAATTTTCCTATTTCATAATAGTCTGCTTAGCTTTTGAAATGCTTCTTTGGTTATCCTAATACGTTTATGGATCTCAATGTCGCTCTTTCCGTCCTCTGTTAAAACATTTCCCAGATATTTAAATTTCCGCACTTGTTTGATATTGGTACTTCTGATTTGCAGTTCGCTCATCATTTTACTTATGACCATTCATTATGTCTTCTTCCAATTGAGGTTTAGTCCTTTCTTCTCGCTTTCCTTTACTACTAGAAGTTTCTGTAGCGTTATAGTCGATTTCAGCTTTGAACAATTCACCACAAGATCAAAGACACGCTATCCACTTTCATGTTTCGCTATTATTTGATTTTTCCCTTCAATTGTGGCTTTCACAATTTCACTCTTAGGTTTCCTGATATGACTACCTTTCTTCAGAGCCACAAGAGAAGCGTTTATCAACCTGAGCACCCGGGTGCATTAATGCACTCTGAAAGATAAACAGGTGTGCCCCAAGTTAACAGAAGAATAATTCTTTTTTTTTTTAAGTATTTCATCCTAAGCAAGGCGGGAGTGTGACTATTACGGAAGGGGCTACAGAGAGTAAAAGTAAGGGAAAAGACATGGTCAGGAGGGAATTGAGGAAAGTATAAAAAGAATAGAGTGGGATAAAAGACGAACGGCGATCAAGGCATCAGAAGATGTCGATTGATATTACATTTAAATTTTTAAAGATTATTGCTGTGGAGTTATTTCGCAGTGAAGACTTGTATTTGTATTAAATCGGTCCTAAAATAGGTTCGACGTACACAACGTTAGGAACTTGATATAATAGGTATTACGCAGAGCAATCTTGTTGTGGTCGCTAACTACTTTCGTATTCGACTAACTGTCGACTACTGTCGTCCGACATCGACTAGTATTTAGTCACCCCCCCCCCCACGAGGGTATCATGTGGCACAAGGTCGGTTTAACGTGGGATCTCTGAGCCCGTGGGATCTCCGAGCCCGTAGGCTCGGCCAAAAATATACCCTTTGAACCCGTATAAACGGGTTCAGGGTCGATTTACCTCCCCGAACGAGAGTCTGACATTCGGCATAGCCTCGTTCGGGTTCCTCCCCGCCCGAAGGCAGAGTGTTCAACCGTTCAACCGGTCGTCCGACCTTGACTGGATATTCAGTCACCTCCCACCCCCACTGGGGCATCATGTGACACAAGGTCGGTTATTTATTGTGGATTCTCCGAGCCCGTGGGCTCGGCCCCAAAATATGCCCATTGAACCCTGACCGTCGTTTCTCTTACTACTCCTACTTATATTAGGTGGGAGAGTCTATTAACTATAGAATAGGTGTGTTTCACCATAACAATTATAGTTATCAGAGAAGCAGGTAAGAGGAAGGGAGTTATACTGTCGGGAAGTGCGAGAGAATAAGCTGTTGGGGCACCAGTGAAAATAGCTCGTCAGAGCAGACGCTATGAAAATATTTAGAGAAAAGACAGAGGGAAGCCATATTAAGACGGTGAGAAAAGGAAGCCATAATAAGTCGGTGAGAATGTGACTGGAATCGAAATCCCAATCCTGACTGAACACATTCCATATCTGTCTTTGGATTTTGTCCAAAGCTTCGAGATATTTATATTTAAGAATAGGTTTGTTTTTTAATAGCTTTAACATCAAGCACGTGGCTTTCATGTTTAAATCAATCGACGTTTCAATTTTATAACATTGACTTATCGTTAGCAGAAGAACCTGAGCTGGTTACTATATCTGCTGGTTGTGGCTTACAAATCACGCATATAGAGGTGTCCATAGATCAATTTTTGATTTCTATTCAAGATGAATATCCTCCAAGAGCCAGTAAAGCATAAAAATATTTTATTGCAATTTTCCCCATCATGCCCCCGTGAATTAGGACTTTCTGTATTTACCAACATTAAATGCAAAAACAGATCAAATATTAAATGCATTGATGTGGAAATGAGAGTATGTTTATCACAGATAAGGCCTCACATTCAAAATAATTGCCAAAGTACATCAAGCAGACTTAAATATAGAATGTAATGTCTTAAAAGTAAATGCTTATTTCAGGAGACTTCTTTGGTATTTTTCTAGTTTTCAAATTTCATGACTAATTTTCCCTTATTAAAATTTAAAGTGCACCATGGAATTTTAGTTAGTCTACAAGTGCGACCTGGTGTAAAAAAGGTTAAGAAGCACTGGCTTAAATCTATAATATGAATTTAAAAAAAAAGACATTGATTTCTGATTGCAGTGCCAATTTTATAACTTCTCTCTCCTTTTTTCTTTCTCATCTCTCTCTCCTTTTTTCTTTCTCATCTCTCTCTCCTTTTTTCTTTCTCATCTCTCTCCTGTTTTCTTTCTCTTCTCTCTCCTGTTTTCTTTCTCTTCTCTCTCCTCTCTTCTTTCTCTTCTCTCTCCTTTTTCTTTCTCTTCTCTCTCCTCTCTTCTTTCTCTTCTCTCTCCTTTTTACTTTCTCTTCTTTCTCCTCTCTTCTCTCTCTTCTCTCTCCTGTTTTCTTTCTCTTCTCTCTCCTCTCTTGTTTCTCTTCTCTCTCCTCTCTTGTTTCTCTTTTCTACCATCTCTTCTTTCTCTTCTCTCTCCTTTTTACTTTCTCTTCTCTCTCCTCTCTTCGTTCTCTTCTTTCTCCTTTTTTCTTTCTTTTTTATTTCCTCTCTTCTTTATTTTCTCTCCTTTTTTTCTTTCTCTTCTCTCTCCTCTCTTCTTTCTCTTCTCTCTCCTCTCTTCTTTCTCTTCTCTCCTCTCTCTTCTTTCTCTTCTCTCTCCTTTTTTTCTCTTCTCTCTCCTCTCTTCTTTCTCTTCTCTCTCCTCTCTTCTTTCTCTTCTCTCCCCTCTCTTCTTTCTCTTCTCTCTCCTTTTTTTCTCTTCTCTCTCCTCTCTTCTTTCTCTTCTCTCTCCTCTCTTCTTTCTCTTCTCTCTCCTTTTTTCTTTCTCTTCTCTCTCCTCTTTTCTTTCTCTTCTCTCCCCTCTTTTCTTTCTCTTCTCTCTCTTTTTTACTTTCTCTTCTCTCTCCTCTCTTCGTTCTCTTCTCCCTCCTTTTTTCTTTCTCTTCTTTCTTTTTTTCTTCTCTCCTTTCCCTTTTTCTTCTCTCTCCTCTTTTCTTTCTTTTTCTCTCTTCTTTCTCTTTTTTCTTTCTTTCTCTTTTCACTTCTTTTCTTTCTCTCTCTCTTCTTTCTGTTTAAATCTATAATATGAATTTGAAAAGCCATTGATTCCAGTGCAAATTGTGTAACTTTTCCTTTCTCTTTTCTTCTTCCTCTCTTTTCTTTCATTCACTCTCTTCTGTCTCTCTCTTCTTTCTCTCTCTCTGTCTATTCTTTCTTCATCTCTTTTCTCTCTGTTTTCTTCTTCTCTCTTTTATCTCCTTTCTCTTTTCTCTCTTTCTTTTTCCCCCTTTCTCTTTTCTCTATCGCTCTCTTTTTTACTATCAAAAGAAGAACTCGAATACGGATATGGAATAACACAGATATATTACAAACAGGAATATATATAGAGAGAAGTAGAAAGTGTTAGTACGAACAATCAGGTTTAGTAGTAATTGTCTGAACGCTACTCTGTTTCGGACTGCCTCTGACTCGACTGACTGACTCGTTCGCTATGACTGACTGACAGACTCCTGACGGACCTCACTCCAGACTTCAGACTGAACTGAGAATTCAGACGGAACTCTAGACTTCAGACGGAACGATATTCAGTCACCCTCCCACGAGGGCGTCATGTGGCACAAGGCCTTTTTAACGTGGGATCTCCGAGCCCGTGGGATCTCCGAGCCCGTGGGATCTCCGAGCCCGTGGGCTCGGCCAAAAATATGCCCATTGAACCCGTATAAACGGGTTCAGGGTCGGTTTACCTCCTCGAAAGAGAATCCGCCCTGAGGCATAGCCTCCTTTGGGTTCCTCCCCGCCTGGAGGCAGAGAGTTCAACCTATCAGCCGATCAGCCGGTCGCCCGACTTCGGACTGAACGATATTCAGTCATCCTCCCACGAGGGCGTCATGTGGCACAAGGCCTTTTTAACGGGGGACTTCTGAGCCCGTGGGCTCGGCAGAAAAATATGCCCTTTGATCCCATATAAACGGGTTCAGGGTAGGTTTACCTCCCCGATAGAGAATCCGCCCTTCGGCGTAGCCTCTTTCAGGTTCCTCCCCGCTCGAAGGCAGAGAGTTCAACCTATCAGCCGATCAGCCGGTCGCCTGACTTCAGACTGAACTCCCTGCTTCTTCTTGAGGCGCAGTATTTATTACGTATGGAATAGTCCATTATGTTCTTATGGGTAAAGTCCCATAACACTATCTCTCTCTACTTTATCTCTTTCTCTCCCTCTTACTGTCTGCTCTATCTTTTCTCTTTCAGTCTTTCTGTATCATTCTGCTTATTCACCTATCTCTCTCTCTCTGCTTAGTTATTTTTATATGTCTCTTTCTGTTGGCTTATCACTCCTTCTGTAGCCATCTTTCTTTAGAATATGCATATCAGTTTTTTCCTCCTCTTTTTTTCTCTAAAATGAGAGTATGTTTATCCCATAATGTCTAACATCCAAAGAATTGCCAAAGCACAGGTTTCGCACAAGGAAAGGTGGAAAATGTATCAGAAAAGCTATTTGTGGGAAATGGAAGGAAAGTGAAAAAAAGGTAGCGATGACGCTCTTGTGTATTTAACGTCTGCTTCAGTGAAATATCTTTTCAATTTCAGTTCTTTTCACTTGTATCTTCTTTCTTAATTAAATAACGATTCCCGTTCTTGCTTATGATTGTTATTACAAGATTTTGTAAACGTTGATTCACACAAGCATAATTAAATAAATTGCGAGGCAATGTCTTAGAAATAAACGCTTATTTCAGGAGACTTCTTTATTATTTTCCTATTCTCATATTTCATGACTAATTTTTCCTTATTAAAATTTAAAGTTATCCTCCAAGGTTTTAGCTATACTACAAGTGAGCCCTGACGGAAAAAGGTTGAGAAACACTGATATAAACATTGGAAATTGTTTGACATTTTGCATTTGTAATTAAGACCCCAAAAGCAAATTTGACATTGTGCTCCTGATTTCTCAACCGGAACACGCTAATGAGCACTAAAATGTTACCATGTGTGTCCCAAGTTAACAGGAAGAGTAATTTACGAATTATTTTTATATTTAAAAGAATCCTTCTTATTTTTTTTATAAAAGCAAGAAACATCAAGCACATGGCTTCAATGTCTAACTCAAATCTTTGTCATTTGGTATTTGAAACGGGATGCTAAATTCCTTAACGACAGAAAGGAAACTGGTCGCTATATCGTTTGATCTTGGTTTACAAATGAAACATAAAGATTGGTCCATTGATTAATTCTGCATTTCTATTTAAGAAGAATATGCTCCAATAGATAATAAAACATTAGGTATTTTATTTTCCATATTGTACCTCTATGAATTAGCATTTTCTGCACTTACGAATATTAAATGTAAAATCAGATCAAATATTAAATACTTTGATGAAGAAATGGGAATATGTTTATCACATAACATTTTAAAAAAAATTACCAAAGTACATAAAGCACAGTTTTCACACAAGCAGACTTAAATATACAATGTAATGCTTATTTCAGGAGACTTCTTTATTATTTTCCTATTTTCAAATTTCATAATTAATTTTACCTTATTAATATTTAAGGTGTGCTGCTGAGATTTATTTTTTCTACAAGTGTGCGCTGAAGTAAAAAAAAAATAATGGTTACTAAACACTGCACTAGTGTCTAAATAATAATGAAATAATATTTCGAAATACGACCGAATGCACTCTTATGGAGTGGACATTCACATCGTCAACAGAAGCCAACGTGCAACCGACGCATGCGCGTGTTCGAAGCTGCCTCGTTTTGATTCGTGTTCATACGGCTGAAGACGTTTTCATTCGAGAGGTGAATTTCTGTTCGAATACTGGGGCATATTTGTTCGAGAGAAGAGACGTTCGTGTACCGAGGCTAAACTTTTTATTTGAAAACCTACAACCTGAATTTTCACCTATCACGATTAACGAGGGTTCTCTCAGTGAAATATTGTGCCATGGGCGCCTATTGAGACTCGGACCTCAAGTGGAGCTCATACATACGATCCGTCGCTAAAGATGCTGGGAAAATGGTCGATTCCCTGTACCGCACCAGTAAGTAATTGCCCCCACTCCCGCCCCCTATCCTCTACCTTTAAAAGACCAGGCTTAAAATATCGAAAGATGTTGAGCATGTTCACAATAGTCTATGAATATAGAATACAGCGCAGTACGTAATATGTTCAATGAAACAACGTTAAACGAGTCAGACACTCTACTGAATCTGACTATATCGCCAATACCACCAGCAGCTGTTCCATAATTCTTCAGTCTTCGATATCTAAAGCTGGCAGTGAATATTCGAGAAAAAACATGGCCGCCTTTATACACGTCGCATTGAATATTTTGAGCCTTCTGATTGGTTAACCCTTAACTATAAAATGAGTCAGCTCATTTCGGCTGGCTCACTAGTACACCAGGGTACCCAAAAATTCCAACAAAAGCTACCTTCGAAAATCTAAGGAAAGCATTAAAAATGGTCGATTCCCTGTACCGCTTCAGTAAGTACCTGATTTGTCCAGCTATCTTCTACCTTGACAAGAGTCAGATCGGGCCGAAAATGAAGAACAGCTAACATAGATGGACAGGAGTTGCCTAGTCCTCACTTCCCAGTCTCGATAGAATCCAAAAGCCTGTGTCATGAATCATCTTCCACCCCAGGCCTATCGCTACTCTGTTCTTATTTCCATGGAAAGTATTCAGACAAAGTACATAGGTCTACCAATTCTATCCTTCACGGCCAAGACTCGCCATACCACACACATTGTAACGAAACACCCACATTCCATTCATATTCCATTGGAGAGATGTAAGTCTCACTCGAGCTTCTTCCCACGAATAGCTGCTTTATGGAATCGACTCTCAAAAAGGATGCTTCCTCGATTACTAGAATTTTAAACTAAATCTAAGGTTAACCGTTATCTTCCCCACATATCAGCATAAACTGTCTTTTACTCTGTAACCTTCTACCTTGAGTGGCTCTTGGAACTTCTTTGTAAAAAAAAAAAAAAGTAAAGGAGAGAGGTGTCCATGATCTGTTAAATTTTACAAACAAGTATCAAATCATGTCCTCTGAAATGGATATGGATTTGGGATTTCAAATACCAGCCTTTTCCGTTTTTATCAAATTTAATGTGGGGTCTGCTCGATATTCATTATACGAGCTATTTCTCTTCTTTTTTTTTTTTTGCGACGTACCTGTTGATCTTTTCACACCAGTAGTACCTGGGGGCACTCAATAGAAATCAAGGGTGGGTTATTATTATTATTATTATTATTATTATTATTATTATTTCCTTTAATGTCTGGTAGTTACTCATTTCCTTCCGGGTCCCAACCAGAGACCTAAGGTCAGAAATGATTTCATGACATTTTCCATTGAACGTTTTTAAACGTAAGGTCACACACTGATTATATAGTTAAAGCACTTCGTAAGGTGTGAGCTGTATTTTTGTCATACTTTAAGGCATGCGCTACCATTATTAATAATAATAATAATAATATGTCCTTTGATTTCTGTTGTATACACATTTCCTTCCGGGTCCCAGCCGGAGACCTAAGATAAGAAATGGCTTCATGACAATTTCTGTTGAACGTTTCTAAACATAAGATCATACACTGTTTACACAAATAAAACCCTTCATAAGGTGTGAGCTGTATTTTTGTATTTCTTTAAGGCATAGGTTAACATTATTTTTATTATTATTATTATTATTTGCTTGGGTTTCTGTTGTATACACATTTCCTTCCGGGTCCCAGGCGGAGACCTAAGGTCAGAAATGGCTTCATGACATTTTCTATTGAACGTTTTTAAACATAAGATCACACACAGTTTACAGAGATAAAGCCCTTCGTAATGTGTGAGCTGTATTTTTTATTTCTTTAAGGCATAGGTTAACATTATTATTATTTGTGTGTTATGTTTACTGTAGGGTCGGATCCAAACTATGGTCCTTAGGGACTATACTTGAATTGTCTTTTAACTGATCACACCTTTCTTAGTATATAGGATGTTTCTAGTAGGGCGATGTACTTGGCAAACTTGTATGTTGATGTTACCTGGGACACTGTTAGTAAAATTGTCCATTCCTTTTCTCACGAGGCCCAGAGCTCCGATTACTATTGGTACAGTCTCATTCTTCATTCTACACATCCTGTTAATCTCCAGGTCCTTGTATTTTGGACAATTTCTCGATAATTTTCATGGAGGTTTTTCTCTCACATAGTATTATTATCGTTATTGTTATTATTATTATTATTATTATTATTTAATAATTTTAATATGTTTTAATAATTTTTATATATTTTTATACTTGAAAAATTCTTTTTAAATATAACTTGAAGATGACAGATATTCTGTCGAAATATTGT